GAATGAATTTGATGCATTGTTCAAAACAGCGGGAGTTCCCAAGCAATCTTCGAGCGATCATTCACAGTGAACTGCTCAGTAGGTTTTGCTCCAGAGATTTCGCCTTCAGACTCACTTATGACGTGCTGTAAGGCATTGTAATGCGCGTCGACGAGCCATCACTCCAGTGCCGTGGACGAGTATCGATCCGCACCGGTCGCTAGTGCTTTGAGAGAGTACAGGATGATAGGAGGGTGAGGGTGGGCGCTGGCGCCGCCTAATCGCTGTCTTCACATCTCTCATCTTGTTTCTTGAAGCTTTTGCCAAATTTATCAAAACACTCCCCTTCAGAAGGAACAACAGTGCACACAACGGCGGGATCGCGCGCAAGAAAGAAGGCACGACAAGAACTTCTTACAGACAGTTACCTCATTGAACATGTGATGCAGATGTATTATTATGATTTCATTGAATTCGGGTTTGCTTTATAACAGCTTATTTGATCTGATGATAGCAATAATATTGAATTTTGGTGTTCGCGTTCCACTTTTTTGAGAAGTCATTTGTCTTTATCAGTCCTCCCAGCATCGAGAGCATTCAAAGAGAGAGCTCGGCATTACCGCTGGGCGGAATCAGAAAACGGCGTGCTCCTTCACTTCTTTCCGTCTATGAGGCGAACGAGGGAAGGGGGGGATAATGACGTCTCTTACTGACTCCGTTCATCTGGGAATCTCGAACCAGGGTCAAGTATCACGTTGCGAAAACCGTGGTCGGCACCGACCTCCCTCCAGGGAGGAGTGTCCATACACCCCACCTCCCCTCTCGCCTTGCAGGCTGTCGATGTCGAAAAAGTCCTCGGAGGCAGCTGATGAGTTTCTTGCCGCATTAGGACAAATGTAACTTGTCACTCTGTTTATGTGTAATTTCATTTACAATGAATTAATTTGTCATAGATTCCCAACCCGACGGAGATACCGCGCTCCGACGAGGCTCAAAAGCGAGGGAATGTTCCCCCATTTCCCTACTGGCCGTCACATGCGACGCCCACGTCGCAGATTTCGCGACACACGCTCGATCCCCGCTGTCCAAAATAACGCGCCGGCCACTGTTGTACCGTTTATGCTGGCCCATTTTTCGGAAAGTTGAGCTGCGGAACGGGAAGAGAGACTTGGAACAGGTGAAAGTTCCGCTTTAGGTAAGTTCATAGATCTATTCACTTTGCATAAAAGCTCCATTGCCTGTGATGGAACGATGCAGAAAACCTGCAGATTACCGGTTCACTGTGGGCGCAGTGAATCCGTGGTTTTTTCAAATATTCTGTTTTGTTTGCTTCTAATTGGCTACAGCTTCGTGCACGAAGGTATACCCGACATCCCTGAGATGCGGTAGGCGTGGCTGCGTACTTCAGAATGACTGTGCTATTGGTGAGATTTTTCATTTTGGGGCAGCTGTAATCATGTCTTTGTTCGACATAGAACAAGGTGACAGTTGTCTCAGACTGAAATATCCCACGAGTAACCCCGGAGGGCAGGTCTACTCCGAATGAGGAGTATAGATCGCCGAGACTGTCACGCTCATTTGGGGTTTGGCACAGATTTGATGATTTGAGCTATCTGGCGTTCGCGCTAAAGATGTAGAAAATGTTTTTTTTGCAAAACTGATGATACTCTAGATCAAGGGGGTATCTACGGAAACGATTTCCTCGTCATATCGACATTTTAGCCCAGTAATTAAAGGGAACGTCGTGCAAAAATTGAAAAAATGAACATTTGATTAGTGAAAGGGAAGCCAAAACAACCTACCGCCCTCCCTTTTCCACAGCTCTTCTTGTGGTCTTCTCATAACACGCGCGGACTAAGGTGCAATGTGATGGATAAAAATCAAAGTTCTATAATATAGTAAGATAATAATCAGATCTTATGATATAAAACTAATTGTATTTTGCATAAGTAAAGCTCAGAAGGGACCGTTGCCGTTTTACAATGCTCCCGGCAATTAATTGAAGATTTTATTCCGCATATACATATTATGGTCATAAATCTTATTGGAATTTGGAAGACTAGACATTTGAGCATGTACAAAATGAAGTGATTACAACGGTAATGAGAGAATATTACAGTTGATAACGTCGCAATGAGTAGGGGCGGGGTCAAGAGGCCTGGAATATGCCCATCAGCGGCGTTCCCTGCCATTGGTTGTTCCTTCCTCGGTGGATGACTTAGCGACCAATATTGGTAGAAAACGCAACTGAAGGCGGGCTCCCTTCGCCACTCCTGACGGTGCCACGACTGATTGCGATGATTGAGCTATATGGGCTTGAATTAGTGAAAAATCCTGATACAATAAATCTGACGCTTTTCCTACTCAAAATATACAAACATAGCAAATAGCTACAAAACACAATCACAAATAGATCCTTAGAAGCTCATAGAAAGAAAGCTTTTTGCGAAAAAAGTGAGAAAATCAGGTGAGAAAATTGTAGAGGAGGGGTGAGGGGCGGATCGGAAGATCCGACTCCCATTGACGTGCAGAGACTAGCTTGACTCTCACGGCATTTGCCAGCTAACTGGCTCAGCTTTTGTAATACCACTGCATCGACCACTTACCATTAGGTCTTGATGCGAATGTCATGAGCGCGATAGAATTCGCTTCTGCTGAGCCGCCGCAACTCGGACTTGCTGACCAGCACCTCCATAGAAGATCTTCGAGAAATACAAAAGAATTCATGAGCAGGCTTCGAAGACGTTGTCCATGCTGATTTCAACTGGTACTAGTTTTCAGATGACAAGTTGGGAGGGTTAAAATTCGAGATGACAGCAAGAATTACTTTGAAAACGAAGCATGAACTAGGTTGTGATTCGGCTTCTGGTTTCTCCCGTCAAATTCTAGATTGGTAGATTCCCGTTTTATAGGAAAAAAGGAGATTTTTGCCAAGCCTCAGTCAGGCTGACTCGAAAGCTGCGTTCAGACTTCGCTGCCATGTCGCACGGCGACACTACCGGTTCAATGACCAGTATCGATCGGCGCCGGCTGCCAGTGTTCTGGGAGAGTATGAGCGGAAATGAGAGTGCAAAATTGCAAAATTGCGACTGACTCACCTATTTTCCTGTACTCTCCAAAAAATCTACGCTGCACAGGTGATGCCCCGTCCATCTCGCTTGCGCTCTCATCTATACTGGAGCGCTATTGCAACGGCAGACAACGAAGAGCGTAAGCTCGAAGTCTAAACGCAGCCTCTCTACCATGCTGCACCGTGTGCAGGAGCGGTTCCACGAAAGTGTGTACGCGCTTCTACTTGGCATGACGCCGCGACGCGTGCCAGGACCTAACGTCTCATATTTACCCTACTACCCATCACAACCTAGTTTTTAGTTATCCTATGAGAAATGATTGTAGTGCAATAACACTAATCTAGAAAATACAGTACTCTCTGAAGTAGACTCCTTGAAATCAGCCTAGACTGCAAATTTTGTTAGTCGTGTCGAAAAAAGATCATAGCAATCTGGCTTCTTTGCCAATGATGACAATATCGCTTAACCGACGATATGGCGACACAACGAAAAACAACAGGTTTATGAACGACTGGAGGAACCGCGTCTGAATGAAAATGCGTACGGTTAGGATTTGATTCGCAATACAAAACCAGGGTGCTGTTCAAAGCTTGGGGAGGCGTTGTGGAGTTGTTTACTTTGTAACTTGTCTCGCCCCCCCCGCAGCGACCTGCCGCCCAAACTGAATATTCGTGGGATTGTCCGACAATTATTAACTGGACCCTCTCAATGGAATCTGTGTAGACGGCGGTGGTAGTACCACCGACGCGAACCATTTCGATCTCACCAGACACGCGATGTCGTCCTGTCCACCAGTCTGAAACCCTCGGGTACTAATATTAGATATGAGGCCCGCAACTTCCCAGGAGGACCAGAAAGCTACGTGATTTTGGAAAGTGGAGTATTTCCAGTAACTTATACAGGTAAGTCCTGCCGACGGCACACAAGATGCTATGTAAGGCGAGAGCCTGCATGTGCTGCGTCTTATGATATGAATTCTGAACGTGGACCACAGCGATCATACGTGCGCCGCTGCTGGAAATGTAATGCGGAGTGGAGAGCTGTCTCTTAACTTCCCGTTATCCAGTCTTCTCGGGCAGTACGTAAAAAAAAAACTTGGACTAGCCAAAAATCCATGTTTTATTTTGAAATGTTTTAGAAATGTTCTCCACTTGTTCTAATACAGAGGATGCTCACAGAAAAGTGTAGGCGCTCATATCGCAGTTGTGGGGGGGGGGGAAGTTGAGGGCACTCGAGCTCAGAGTGCAGACGACCAAGGTCCCCGAGGGATAGTTCTGCAGAGCAGTCATATCTAGTCTCCCCCCAGCTACATTAATGCCAAAGTATGCAAGGAAATATCAGAGGACTACTAGTTAGTTTGCTGACTTTGACTGTAATATCCCTAAAACTTGTGACTGCTCAAAACTTCTGGAAAAATCTATCTTGTGGCTTTTTGCAGGTTTTTCCCGGTACTGCAGGAAAAGGAAGGAAACGCACTAAGTGGAAAAGAAAACAAAAGCAAAAGTAAATGAAAATAACTCGGTAAAGATTTCCCTACGCACCTGCGCAAAGCCAGCTGCCAAAACCGAAGAATCCGTGAATGATGTTGAAAAGCCATCGCCCTTTTCCGTCAGGATGGCACCTAAAACCAAATTCAATACAAATAGTTTTTCGCGAGGAATAATCTTATACTTTCTAATGACAACGTCTACTGGGGAACAGCAAGAGGAAGATAACCATTATCCTGCCTATTTTGAAAATATAAGTTTGTTCATAAAAAAGATGCGGTTCTGCCTGGTAAAGGCATTTTGCTAGTTCCCGTTGACCACAGTCCATGACTTCTGCACAGACTTGTGAAGTCTGAAAAGCTATGCAAGAGCAGGAGCTCCGTCTACAGGACGATTAAGTTAAAGCAATTGGCAAAAGAGACTAGTGAAAGCGAAATATGTTCCTCCCAAGCCGAACAGAGCCAAAATACGAATAAAACAAAATGTTCAACAATGATCAATGAATTTATCTTTACGAAATCGGTAGAATTCACGATGTCAACCCACAACCGCCGACAGTATAGAAATGAGCCGGCACTCCATATCCGGAAGATGGGAGGGGCGTGGCTGCGTGTCTCATTTAAAGATGGCGCAGGATGCGCCCTTCGTTGGATAATGTAAGACAACCAGCATTCTTTCTTTGGGTGGACAAAGACATCACTCAATTGTCCATTAACTGTGATATCCCATCAAAGGGCAACTACTGCTAAAATTCAAGTATTCCGCCACGCCCCTCCCACCTCCGGGATTCTCACAAGTGTAAGAAGCTGGTCACAAAATTAGAATCATCACACGAACTAAATCTAAAATACTCTACCTGAAAACGGCATTAAGCGGTTGAGCCCAAGCAACCACACAAGCGATAAGTCCCAACATCGCATGAACAGATCCCCATTGGTTGTTCTAAACAAGACCAATAGAACTTACTGACTCTGTACCACCACAATAATAAGCCTTACCAGTTCCGATGATTGATATGCTTTTGGTCCTACCCATCTCCAGTCCTTTGCCACAAACACTACCACAAAGCCGGCTATCGTACCTGCTATACCGATCATGTTGAGAGTACGATGGAACTGAAAATGCAGGGTAGAATTTTGAAGGAACTGGCCATGATCGCGGGAGGAGGGCGGCTTGCAACGTCATTGAGTAGAAGCGGCTGCTGCGAGAAGACGTTTGGTCACACCCCACTTAGCCGTTCTACCAATGACGTTGGCGACAACCGTCCGCCCCCAACCATCGTGCCCACTGCCTTCGATTACTATATTGTCCACCAAAAACAATTTTCCCCCTATATGCGCATAAGTTGACCTGAATTTTGGGTATTGCAATTGCGATCTGTGTCAGGAAATCCGAATTGTGACGATTCGCTGGAACAAGCGCAGCGCACGCGATATTTGCTAGAAGTCGATTCACTTCGGTGGCTCTAAAACGCTCTCTCTCTTCAGCAAGTCAATGGCGGCCTTGGTGCCGAATTCCGCGCGCGCGTGCGCCTCTACCGACCGTGTCGCCGCAGCTCGGATTTTCTGACCAAGCTATCGGGACATAGAGGCGCATGAGCATCCGTCGAACATTATGGCTGAACGTGAAACGTCAGGATTCGGCAACTTTCCAGTACATGGAACGATTGACCAATCAGAAAACTATTTCAAAGTCTTGACCACCAATCCGCCCCCGTCGACACACAGTGCCTATTAGGTTGTCCGGAAAGTTCTCAGCGTTTTGTGCACCTATTTTTTGTACATTCACTGCTGATTAAAAACTCATTCTGCCTTGCTCAGTAGCACATCCTGTAGAGAATTTCTTGCGCTATCTGATGGTATAATTGCCGTTTCACCATTGCTTGATAAACCCTCTTTTTTCAAGATTTTTTCAAGCATGTGAAAAGAGCACTTCGGACGATTTTTTTCTTCGACTATAAATTGGGGCAATCCGCAATCGAAACAGCTCAACAAATTAACCAGGTGTGGGGGCCCAATAGTGCTAGAGAAAGCACTGTGCGCAATGGCTCAACAAATTTCGTTCTGGAGATTTCAGCCTTGAAGATGAACCTCATAGCGGTCGACCTAAAGCAGAAGAGATAGCAGAAGAGCTAGGCCTTGGCAAATCCACTGTTGCAGATGGTCTGGAACGCATTGGGAAGGTGAAAAAACTCGACAATTGGGTGCCCCACAATCGGAGTGACCGGCAGGAATCGGCACGTCTCGAGGTTCCTTCTGCATTGCTTTTGCGCAGCAGAAACGACCTGTTTTTGGGCCGAATTGTCACCTGTGATGAAAAATGGGTCATGTATGATAACAGGAGACGTTCCGGACAGTGGTTGGATTTCGACGAACCACCGAGGTAATTTTCAAAGCCGAACCCTCACGAAAAAAAGATTCTGGTCACGGCTTGGTGGTCATCGGCTGGTGTGATCCACTATAACTTTTATCCACCGAGGCGAAATCATCACAGCAGAGAACGCTTACTGTGAAGGAATCGAACGAAATGTACCGAAATTGCGTCAGCTGCAGCCAACACTTATCAAAAGAAAGGGTCCGATTCTTTTGCATGACAACGCCCGCCCACACGTTTCACAAATCACTATCCATAAATTGAACGAATTGGGGGTTGAAGTTCTACCTCAACCGCCATATTCTTCAGACCTTTCGCCAACCGACTATCACCTTTTCTAACATTTTCAGAACTCCCTTGCTGGAAAATACTTCATCAATCAGGACCAGGCAAAAAAGCCTTCGTGGATTTCGTGAATTTTCGACCACCCAGTTTTTTACTTTGATGGGATTTCTCGACTGCTGTCACATTGGCAAAGGTGTGCTGATTCGAATGGTGCCTATTTCGATTAAATCCGATGAGTATTAAAAAAGTTACGATCGTTTAAAGTGAAACACCCAAAACGCTGAGAACTTTCCGGACAACCTAATAATAAACTCCTAGTCTGAGAACTCACATGGAACCAGAGTTGAAGTCCACAAAGTGCTGAGTTCGGGCAATGTCCTTTCATATGACGAGCGAATAGGATCGCAGTAGAGATGAAGATTGACCATGAAAGAACCATGAGGATGGCTGAAATTTATGGGAATAATGCTTTTATCTCGGATCGGAGGCTGCAAAAAAGTTGCTAGTAATAGATTTGGGCCCAGATTGGAGCGGCAGTCCTGCACAATAGAACCGGAAAAGAGTCCCAAGCAGATGAACGTCCTCATCAATTCATCGGATTATGTACAGTCATGACCGCTGCGAATGAAGGGGGCGTGTAAACGAGGTTGGGTTGGCGCAATGCAAGCTTTTCACAACCAGCTGTTCAAGCAGGTAAGCGACAATAATTGAAGGATATCGATAGGAGCGATAGTCTTAGTCACTTCCCGAAAGAAAAAAAGAAACGGGCTGGCGCTGCACCAAACCAGTACCGCTGATACGCCCTCTCATCCGCAGCGGACAAGACTGTGTGAGAAGAGATGGTGCTGCTTTCGAGGGCATGGGCCGTCCAAGAGATGAGAAGGACAGGCTCTTTCGTAATGGCGCGCGAAAAGTTCAACTCAGTTTACGCCTCCCTACCTTCTCTAGAGCATAATCTAGGTGGTTCTAGGCTTTTCTTCTAATTTTGTGGCTGAGAGTCGAGCCTGTACAGCTAATTACATGCTGTCGCTCATCACCCAATGTCGCGTCGCGTCAGTCCTGCGCAGAAATTTCGCCTGTTGAAGGTGAGCCAGTGTGAAGAATCTCGGGAAAATGGGATCGACTCAGGCACTGGCATCTCGAGGATTCCACAGGCATGCTGCGCAACTATCTCATTGAGGTAAGAGTTGTGCTTGGAGAGAAAAGTGGTCCACAAGCGCAAACCCTGTGCCCATTCCGCAGCCAGAACTAGGATTCCAAAACTAACATGACAGGCCCAATTCGAGCCGGCTTGGTGCATCCTTCAAGGAAAGCGGTTTGCAAATATTTCGCGTTTCGTTTCGTTTCGGCCTTCCCTGTTTTCTCTGTCGTCTGGTCTCTCCTTCAGGCTTCCGATGTTTCTTCATCAGTATTAGTAATTTTCAAAACGACCTCGTTATAAGAATATTTCCACGGGATTCGAGCGGAATTTTTTGCTAGACAACTGGAGCCATTTACACTAATTCAGTCGCTCAATGCTTCATCGCTGATGGAAAAGCCGCTTCGATACTTGAGAGTGAGCTCTCTCCACCAGATGACCTCAAAAGCCTCGAAGCCAACATCCAGCATATTTGACTCTGCATTCGTATTGCGCCTTATCCGAATCGCCTCTACTTCGAGTCCGAATTAGCTGAGAGCTGGAACGGGTAAAGACCTGACGATTGAATACATTGACGTCTCCATGAGACACGCTGCACCGGTTGTATGGGAAGACGCCCTGAATCGCGCCATGAGTGCGCCTCTCCCCTTCAGCGTCTTAGACTTAGGAGCATGCCAAAGCGAAAGGCACAACGGTTGACTGTCTCCGCCCACTCTGCTGTCGCAGAATATATATTGAAGGTTAATTCCATCATAGCAGGCCGAAGGACATTGGGTTTTCGATATGAAACTGACGGCGTTCCTTCTGCCGCCTGTGAAGAAAACTGCCGCAAACCGTCAGTGGTAAGAGAGAGTCCAGTAGCGTCACCTCCCATCAACTTTGTATATTGGACGAGTATATGACGACTAAAACTGTCAACGTGAGAGGCGACAGAGGACGAAGAGGCGAGAGAATATTAGGCGTAGAGAGACGACAGGCAACACGCTTGTCACGATCATGGCGAGGATTAGGCAAAAGGGGCAACAACCATTCAGCATCCTGCTATGGACCTGCGAAAAAAATGCATGCTATGGACCTGCGAAAAAAATGCACAGCTTCTGCAATTCCGGTCTGTACTCTCTCCTCAAGGGGCAGGCTGCTGGCCCAGCTCCAGAATGTGTCTTCAAGTCGATTTTCACTGTTCACTCATTTTACTTTCCATTCATCGCCGCAGCAGGGTACGTTGATAGAAAGCTCCGGTAGACTCTCAGAAATGAACAGAAGGTTATCGGAGGAGATAAGCGGCTGTGTAGCCAATCCACGTCATTGCTGCTTGCCTGCATTTTCTGAATGAGATAGTGAGGAAGGAGCACCTTCACATTAGCGATCGGATTACCGCAGAAAATGTTGCATATAACGACTGCAAATTTATTACAAACTCAGGCACTATATTGGTAAGAGGGCACAGACCAGCAGAAATGACGCGGTATAGCAGCTTCCACTGAGTTCCTTACAATTTCTGGACATTTCCGTCGGCGTATGGGTTTGCACTGCACAGCCATCGTAGTTATGACCACTACATGTCTTGTCCGCTGCATGTGCTAGGGCGTAACAGGGGGTTCTTCACCAATTGTGTAAGCTGACGAACGATTTCACCAACAGTGGTCGTTCGTCAGCTCACACAGTTGGTGGAGAATGGGTTGGTACTGGTATAAACCCAGCCCCTCCCTAGCATCCAAAGCGGACAGGACCCAGTACCCACTTAATTTCGACAAAGCAACTCTTTTTAAGTGTCACATACCATGAGCAATCATCAGCTTGTCGTTATTCGATCGTTCACCCTCATCAAATTGTGGATCTAGAATTTCACTGATTGATCTTTTGTAGATTTATGAAAATTGGGGCGAAATTTGAAGAACATTTTCTTTATTAAAACTAGAAACTACAAAATCATTTCCGAACTCTGGGTGTCCTTCTAAAACCTTTACGAATCTTCTTAGACCTACTCTCCACAAGACCAACTCCTTTCATGTAGGCCGATAATCGTGTGCGTGGCAAAGCGTGCCGATTCGTTTGATGATACGACAAGCCTGAAAATCGATATTACACCAGCATCTGTGAGAGTAGAAAAAATTGAAAGAAATCAATAAGTGGACTGACGTTCGCCTTCAGTTGGTCCTGCAGCTAACAATATGTTATAGGTGCCGTTGAGATTGTATAGGTTGCTCTGGTTAGGGTCCAGTCGCTGACTAAAATAAAAGATAATAAGTCCTGAAAGTAAAGTGTTAGATAATCTCTATAACGCTGAGTCAAAATTCAGGCGAATTTAGTGAAGTTCCGCTTCCGCGGTGTAGCCTAGGTCCCAGAACATAGCTCTCAAACTTCTCTGGACGCGAAAGCGCAGTCACGCCAGGCCGAGACGGAAATCTCAGCAGCCCTTGATTGATATCCGGCGGACGTGTTCAACACACGCTTCTTTTGTCCCTCTCTTTTGCTGACTCGGTGCACAATAGACAAGTGCACAAGACGGGTTGACTACCTCGCCACGGCAATATCGTCTGGACGTGTAGCTTTCCGAAACAGATTCTTAATTTGGTTCAGGACGGAGGGGAAAGGGCTAGGCACTTTGTACTTTCGGTGCTTCCCGTTGTTGTGTTCAGTGCTTTATAAGGGCCAAATTTCTATTTGGCTCGACATGACAACGGAAAGCAGCAAAAGAGCAAGTGCCGCTAGCCGAACAACGCCGTGTATTTTCGAATTGACGCTGGTTCCCAGTGATTCCCCAGCTCCAGGGTCCTCTGATTCTGCCAGAGGCTCTATCAACGTCGACTGTACACAATAGTTCCAAACATTTAAAATCGCAGAACCCCTGTATCTTTGGAGAGTATTAAATAGTAATGTTAAAATCACTTTACTTGATGGCACAATAGAGAACACCGCCAGTATTTGACGCTCGGAGAACATTCTGTATGCCGACATTACTCTGAAACACTATTCTGAATGACAACGACCTACAACGCGATAACAGCGTCAATTATTAAGAGAAAGGCGAGGCCAAATGCGGGTGAAATGGAACTAGTAAGAGAGAGGGAAGTTGTAAGAAAGAAAGATCGTGAAGGGGTTTTGTGAGGCGGTCTCGTTTCATTAAGATAACTGATGTTTAAAGACACATGGTACGCTCAACACATTGAGGGTGTATGAGACTATCAGCCCCCCAGCTGTCGATGTGTCGTGGTCCCCCCGCCCAAACATGCCCAGGAATGGAGATACAGGGCCGTGAAACACGCTAATTCTTCCATGCTCCGCCCACTGCCTTTTTACGGCGCAGATTCCCGTCCTTCATAACATCCGTCGTAAGCGCGCGTGTCGCGTGCGGCTCCTTGGCACTTTGCCAAGTCCTTTAATTGCGCTTTCAAATACAAGTAAAACGCAATTTCCTGATGCGGATAACATTAAGGAAAAT